GAAGGGGGAAGGGAAAGACTTTCTAAAGATATATTGAGGTCTTTGGTCTGCTGAGAGGACAGCTATATGTTCTTCTTTCTTCTAGACTTTCAGTTCTCTTATTTCAGAGAGGCTCTGCCTTTCCTCGAGGGCTGCAAGCACTCGCTGTCAGGAATTACTCCTAGTTTTTTTATTTCAACAGCCACTCAGAAAAGCAGAGAGTCCACAAAAGATTTGACATGGTTTATTTTCTTCCATGAGAGAATGACCATATAAATGGAGGAGGTAAACATTTTGGCAGGGGAGAACTTATGAATATTCCCCAGGTTTTAAATAGTATCAGAAGACTCATCCTAAATCCTAAAACCTATCAATGACATATAAATTTGAGTCTAAATTGCCTCCTCAAATTCAATTTCCAACTCTTCCACATTGTCCAAGGTGGCAATTACTACACCAAAGAGTGGTCCAAGCACATATAAGGCTCTGCACATTATTTTCATTTTTTGCCATCTTGTCCCCATCCTTAAAGCATTATTTTATTGGCTAAGTCCACATCTCATTCTGAATTACTTGTAAGGAGTTACAAGTAATTACAATTACAATAGGAGGGGAGGGGAAAAAAAAAGAAAGAATCCAATACTTACAGAGCAGACAACTACAAAGATAAAAAGGCCTGAAACTTTTAGGAATTTTAGACAGCATCTGAAATGCAAGAAACGTATATTTATTGAATGATTACTTTTAGAAAATCTTTTTGCTTTTTTCACTTTCAGCACCATCATGCTAAGCACTTCTGGGTGAAACCGTGCAGCCTCTTTCACAGTATGGACACCACTAGAGAGGGTCAGCAAGGGCTTGGGTGCACCAGTGACTACAAGGGCTTCCTGCTCTCACTCTGCTGACAGCCCAGTCCCATGTCATGGGAAGGAGCATTTGCCCCTTGGGAAATTGCAGTGAAGCTGCAGCACAAGCTGGTGCCAGGACACAGAGCTGCTTGCCCCCTGCTTCCCCAGGCTGCCTACAGAGCCACCCCAGCGGCTTTGCATGTGCCACCACGGGGAGGGACAAGCTGCAGAGCCTGTCTAGCATAAGTAGAAGGACCACTGTTACCAAGGGGAAGGAAATGGGGAGCAAAGCGGGGCACGAGCCAAAGCCGGTATCACAGACAGCACAGTGATAACAACTAATAACACCATGGCATTGCCCCAGCACCTGGCTGTGGCCCATCAAGGGCAGTGTGTGGACAGCAAGGGATCGCACATTCCCCAGCCCAGAAAGGGCATTTCTGCAAGGACTGATCAGCGGGAAAGTATACCAAGAAAATCCCATAATTAGCCTGAAAGCCCAATTTCACACGGAATACCAATACACACAGCCACAGGCCACTTAGTTTGCAGCTCCCTCTAAGGGGCTTACTTTCTCACTGTTTTGAGCATCAGTGCAGTTTTCCTTACATAAAAGCTTAAAATCAAGGCTCTACACATATTTTACTTGTTGCATAGAGGGATTTTATAATAAAGTAGTTCCTCAAAATTAGAGTTCTCATATGCATCCTTAAAGGTACTGGGAAAAGACAATTCCCAAATAAACTTTAAGAATCTCTCAGTTTTGGAAGTATCTCTTTAAAACAATTCATGAGCATCTCTAGACAAACAGGCAAAAGAACTAGATTTTTTTCCATAGCACATCTGTGCATTTTGAGGGAATGCTATTCAGTGCAATCAAACGTTCTGAAATGTTACAGCTTACTATTTAGTTGGTGAAGTAAGAAAAAGTCTAATTTAAAAATTTAGACATAGAAAATGTATATTCCTGAGTAATAAATCTTCAGACATCAATTTTAAATTAGTATTTTTGTATCTTACCATAAAAGGCAACTCAATAAATTATTTTCATGTTGCCCATCAGTATGTTACACAGATGCCTTGATTTAGAGAGTGACTTGCCCTTATTACATCTTTTTATTAATTGAAGCCATTGATGTTCTCATCCTATTTTTTCAGAAGTAAACACTTAAAAGTTGCATGGCTTTCCTGACAGAATGATAAATGTAGGGTTTGATTTAAGCCCGATGATAGCAAGAAGGAAAGCATTTCAAGTTACTAGGATAATTAGTTGGGAAGGGAGGGAAGGGAACATTGCAATAAATAGCTGTATTGACAGATGCTGTAGAACAAAATATTATTCTGAAG